ACACACCCTAGGTCATCAAACAGCTGACTGGTACTTATATACATGTATTACATGTGTAAGTAGCTTTCATGTCTGTTGTGTCTTCTTTTAGGTTTATCTGACGTTGTCCCCTCAATCACTTTGAATGTGAATAAGTGGAATATGTAAAATATCAATTCCCCTCCCGACCGATTTTTCTCTAAATCTTGAGTGATGAAAACCTAAAAATCAATGTTGACTGGCCTTAGGAAAGAGTAAAGACCACAAACATTTGTACCAAAAAGAATTTTTTCATTGTTTATGGCAATCTGGAGGTGGATTTGAGGCACAATTTAAACCTCACTCTGACAATTTTTTTTTTGGTTGTAACTTACCAGGTGGTTTGTTCTAAGATTGTCAACCTGTTTTTTGAGGATGCTGGACCAAAAGTCTTTACAAATGAATTTAATGATGTCCAATTCACTCGAGAATCTTGGGGTGTCCTTAGTTAAGCGTTCTACCACACTTTGGCCAACTCTGTACCCCATCTGCTCCAGTTTAGCTACCAAACGATCCTGAGAGGGTTTAGGAGACAGAAAAAAGTTCAGTTTATGACACTGCCAGATATAAAGATAGATGAAAAAGTGGAAAATTTCAACTTGTACAGGTAAAATGCTTTTTAAAAACATGTTGGCTTTGGTAAATGAGATACATGTATACATTTTTGGAGGGTCAAGTGGTAGAGGCGATGCATACTAATTCACCCAAATGGGAATACATGTACTATACAAATATTGACTTTGTCGAGCGCAATTTGAGTCCCCCGCCACAAATTTAAACTTGCGCGCGCAAATTTAAACTTGCGCGAGGGACTTCCGAAGCACGCAAATTACACTGCGCCAATTTAATTTGCGTGCGCATGTTACAACTTGCGCAAAGGCGATCGCAATTTGAGAACCTTGCAGGCGGGATTTTCATTGATGAAGAAACAAAATGTTCAAAACACGAGTACATGGACAAATAAATTAATAAATAATGGATATTAATGAACAAAGAAATATATAAAAAGGGGAATTCAATTAGCGTCAATGAAAAGGAACATTGAAATTTAGCAATTCTTATCAGAGAAGTTTTTAGGGTGGGGGCGGGGAGGGGACCGGGCAAGCAATCAATAATAAGCACATTGGCGGCGATTGGCTGAGAGCGAGTTTTGTACTTTCTATTTTTGCTATCTTTCAGTGCACGGCCAAAAGTACTATACCCGTAGCAACCAAAGTACTATACCATTAGCAACCAAAGTACTATACCATGGTGCGGTATTTGTGTGCAAATGGCAAATGCATGCTGCTGTGCGAGTTGAGCGTTGGGCGTAGCGCGTATTGTTCCTAAGAGAGCGCGTCACAAAGTTGGGTTCAAACATTTCGTGAAGGGGTGGTTTGGAAGAGAGAACTACGTTTCCCACCAATTTTGTATTGAAATTGAAGTTTATGTTAACTGTAATCAGATTTAAATAATTTCAAATATTAAAAACCGAGCAGAATCTTTGGGTGAATTTCACCCAGTGAAGTGTTATAAAACAAATATTGAATGCTTTATCTCGTGGTGAAGTAAAACAAGCCCTCGGTGATCCATGGAGCATCTATTTTCCCTCTGCTTTGCCTCGGGAAAATAGCATGTCCATGGATCACCTCGGGAGGCTAGTTTTACTACACCACTCGAAGCGTTCCATATTTGTATAATAACACCTCTCCCACAGATTCTGCTTGAATTTAAGTGATAACTGATTTATTTAATCTAAATACAATTAAATCATACATCTATTTGATTACAAAATTATTGAAAATTTACTTGCACTTTTCCAAACTACCCCTTCACGAAATGTTTGAACCCAGCTCTGTAGCGCCAGCGCTTGGGAACAATGCGCGCAATGCGCACACCCGTATATATGCATTTGCACACATAGTACCGGTTCTTATTCCTATAGGCCTGCATGTAGTACTTTGGTTGCTACAGGTATAGTATTTTGGTTGCTACGGGTAAAGTACTTTTGGCTGTGCACAGCAAGATAGCAAAAACAGCATATGCCATGTGACTCGCTCTCGGCCAATCAAGATTCAGGATCTGTGGGTGAGGCGTTATAATTGAAACTATGCACCCGTCGGGTGTTAAAAACATCATATCCCACATCACAGTGGTCAAATGATGGATGATAAAAAGGTCATGCACTGTAGGGCTATCTCAACTCTAAGAGCCAAAGATCCTGACATTGAATACTATTATTAGGTCAGGGAACAGGATGGTCGACTGCCGTAACAATAGCCACTGCGAATCTTGAAAACTAACGTTTGAGGAAAGGAATACTGCTTAAGGTTGCAAAATATTCTGAGTCATATTTGAGTAGGCCTAATAAAAAGAAATCTGAGCTAAAGACATATTAATCCTTATTGCAAATATCACTGAAGTGATTTTGCACAAAAGTCCTGGGCCCAAAGGACGCAGAAAGGGATGGGTTGAATTCAGTACTTGGATCCCACTTATCTGCCACCAAACACATCAATTTTCAACTCATCTTGTGATTTCAATGAAGACAAATTCAGAAAGTTCCGGCAATGTGTATACATTTCAGCTTTTTCCAGGAAAAATGTGTTTTTAGAGCACGTTTTGGATGCACACAACATTGGACAGCATGCAGACATTCTAGGCAGCCATATTGCATGTACTGACAATGATGTGGGGTGCTGTGGTCCAATGGTTATGGTGTTTGACTCCTGTGCCGTGGTACATGAGTTCGAATCCTGACCGTGGGAACATGGTGCTTGTGCTCTTGAGCAAGGCACTTTACCACTGTTGCTCCGTCCTTCGGATGGAACGTAAATTGTATAATGCACGTTAAAGAACCCAGTAACACTTGTCGCTAAGAGAAGGGGTTCACCCCGGTGTTTCTGGCCGCAGCACCTTGTAAATGTAAACCCTTATAAGGTGCCACATAATGGGTCTCATATCTCTCATGTACTTCATTCACCTGTCTCTAATAATAGATATCTCCCAGCGCCTTGAGTGCAAATTTTATGAAAACGTCCTCAGTAGTGCGCGGACCACGGTGTGTGGCCTTAGGTTCAGCGCAGCATACCGACGGCCACACTACTAGTGGGGCTAGTTCACGGGTCTAGGGTCTATGATCAGATGATAAATAGGCCAATCAATCATGTCAATTATCATGCCTAGGCTGGTATCATGCTAGCCCCATAAATGTGGCCTATTTACTGGACTGCCTCCGTAAACATAGGCCACACATCCACATGTACAAAAATCGTGTCGACGGAGCCAAATTTTGATTTTCACATTTAGGCTTAGTTTGTAGGGTTTTTTTGCTTTAGAAGCATACTCACCCTCTTTATAGGCTAATCAGAAAGTGCTGCCTTTTTCAGATGTATATTTTTCGTGAAATTTCCAGATTCATTTTTACACGTTTGCGTATCAAAATTTCAACATGAAATTTCACAAAAATTATGGGGCTAGTAATCCCTACTGGTATCCATTGTGCAAATTCACTCAATCGGTATTTATGATAAGGCTTATGATACAGGGCCAGGGGTCATAAAGTATACTTTTAGTTTCGCTCAAAAAAACCCCCAAAAAGCCAAATTTTCTCACGAAAAGGGTGAAGTGGCCCGCCTCCCTAACGTAGTTACATTGCAGATAGGCAAACTGTTTATAATACCAAATCATTCATACCTTTTCATCTTTCTTTGCTGATTGTTCTACATAGGAAACGATCTCCATATGCAGAAATTCAAATAATACGTCATCTGCCATTTGTTTATTATATCCGTTTAAAATGCCCAGAAATTGTTAAAACAACACCTGCCACTTTGCTAGCCAACAAACGAGTTTAGTAGGCGCTAATTAATTAGTCAGGCAACCAGAATTGAGGTTGTGTGATAAGCAAAAGCTTGCGTCAGGGAATCATTCCGAAGTTCATGTCGAATATGGAATGCCGAAAATACTGTATTTAGTATGTAAAAATAATATTCATATATAATGTAAGCAAATTAATCCCCAAATTGTTGCTTTGAGGATGTCATTTTTTTTAGAAACAGTACATGCTACGTCCCAGTAAAGAGCTTTCGAATAGACCTAAACATAATGACGTCACGCTTTGTTTACATGTGCGCGTTCCTATGAGAGCCAGGTGGGACGCGTCAAACGTTCACAAATGGCTCCCATATTCAAAAAGATTAATCTACAAGAAAGGAAGGAATTCTTGTCTGTAAATATTCAAACTAGTTGTCTCCTAAATGCATGCCTGATTTATTTTTTCATGTATTGCACAATACCATGTTCCCGGTAGACAAAATACAAATGGCACCTTGAAGATTCCCACCTCTAATGCTTTCTCAAAGTTTTGCAGTCACTAGAGCAAACATTGGGTCTTCATGCCAACTTAGTGTTAACGTTCCCTTCTTGTTGTTAAAATTGAACTGCTTAATTACTTATAATAATTTTTTTTATCATTTCTATTTTTTTTTTAGCATTTTCATATGTATCAGTTTTTGTGTTCGTTTTAAGTATATTGAGTTTGTTTTTTGATGTATTCTTTTGTTTTATACTTTCTTAAAACATTCAACATTTTTCCGCACTCGATCATGTCTATTGTTGAATTCTCCCTGTCTGTATTTGTACATGTACTTTTTATCAGCGTTTTTATGTCCTTTTTAGCTCTATTATAAAAAAATTAGTAACGTTATTTTACAGATATTGTTGATTTGTTTTTGTAGCTGGCTTGCTTTTATCTTTTCTTTTATTCAAGTTAATCAGTTTGCTATTGAGTTAAGTGCATATCATTTCATTATTTGTTTTGAAAGTCCTCAATGTTTTGTTTTTTTAATTCATATTTGTCAATGAGTTTATTTGAATGCAGGGCCAGGTGAAAGCCATTTTTTTGCTGTTTGGGTTAACCCTGATATATAAAGGAATAAATACATTTTTAAAAACTCATACCTTGGAGAATTCGTACCTTAATTCAATTGTCAATTATTGCCTTTTAAACGATTTGTGTTTTCTCGTGAATTGTAACCATTCTCCTTTTTTCTTTTTTAGGGATCGGATTCTGACGATAACATCGACAAGTGATCTCCACAGACTTCCGTGCGAGATTGTGTGTGGTTGTTTTGTCTTCCAACGATGTATTTTCTTTTAAGACACTGGGTCTGGGAAACAGTTTAATTATTTTTTTTCTTCCCAACGAAGCATTTTTTTAAACATATGGATTTTGGGAACTGTTTAACTTATATTTTTTCCCAAAACGAGTAAGTTCTTTTCTTAAGAAACTGGGACTTTGGAGGCTGCTGTACTGATTTTATTTTTTCATTGGAATTTTTTTTATGTGGAAAAGCTGTCTTCTTCTAGCTTGGATTTTGTTTTATATAAATTTGTCCAAAACTGCAAGAAGTTCAATCTCGTTTTTAAACATGACTTTGTGTGGCCAACCTAATTAGAGCAGGTCTGGTGGCTCTGAAAAGAGCCCCAGAACGTGGATAGAAGTATAACATTAAAATGATCGGACAAAATTGGGGTGAATTTTGCCAACTTTTCGAGTTTTGCAGTTTTTACTTGGGCTCTTAATCTTAATTGCCATTATCGACAAAAATGCCCCTCGGTTTTACACGTACACTGAACGGTTTTAAAACTGCTCAATGCATGACCCCACTTTAGGTCTCGTTCAAATGACGTCATTTCCTACAGACCATCCACGTGCATCGGCATTTTGAGCGTCAACTTGTATAACGCGCATCGGCTGCGTCGTAATTTCGAACATTTTTCGAGCATGGGCGTCACCAGGATTTTTTCCGGGGGGGGGGGCAAAGCAAATTTTTCTCCAAAATTCCCTAACTTTTTCATTATATTCTCAATTTATCATTTTTCCGAGCGTGAGCAGGGGAGCATTTGCCCTCCCTTCCCCCCCCCCCCCTCATCTATTAACAGCAATATGGCTTCGCACCTCTTTTTCCTTTTTTTTTTCGTTTTCCGGGGGGGGGGGGCCTTGACATTTCGAGCATTTCGGGGGGACATACCTTGATCATAACTGATGCAAGCGCGAAGCGCGAAGCCCTTACGGCGTGGGGTTCGGGGGCCGCTTAAGGGCCCCGAAAAAAAATGGATTCTAGATGTTCTGTGGTGTGATTTGAAGCAATTTCTTACGACTTTCCTCCATGCTTTAACTAATATTTTCTTGGCAAAAGATAATTATTTGAACATCGTTTTCGAGGTTGGAGACATTGAATCAGCTATCGGTATTCTGAGCTATTGGCGTGGGGTTCGGGGCCCGCTTAAGGGCCCCGAAAAAAAATTGGATTTTCGATGCTCTGTGGTGTGATCTGAGGCAATTTCTTACCACTTTAACCAATAATTATCTTAGCACAAAAGATAATAATTTAAACATAATTTTCGAGGTTTTCTCAGCTAAAGGCATAAGAAAATTTTCTGAACATTGTTTTCGAGGTTGGAGTCATTGAATCAGCTACCAGAATTCTGAGCTATAGGCGTGGGGTTCGGGGCCCGCTTAAGGGCCCCGACAAATTTTGGATTCTAAATGCTCTGTGGTGCTATCTGAGGCAATTTCTGACCACTTTAACCAATATTTTCTAAGCAAAAGATACATTGTAGTACATAATAGGGCCCATGGCGTCATGTAGATCAATGATAATTTTTTTAGAAACTCAAAATCTCAGTGGGGGGGGGGGGGGGGGGGGGGGGGGGGGGCGACTGGGGGGGGGGGGGCGACAAGCTTTTATGGGGGAGGTCGCCCACCCCCACGCCCCCCGGTGGCTACGCCACTGCTAGACATGCAGATGCGCGCCAGCCAATCGGAGTCAACTTTTTACTAAATTGTGACGTCATTTCATTCCTTAATCTTTCCTTAATCATTTCATTCCTTAATCTTAATGTTAAATGGTTTGATTGATCAATTGGAATGCAGTGTTTTGTAATATAACAACAGCCGGGCGCGATATCGCTTAACATGATATAGAGCGCGACACATTTTTTTAATCCATTATATGACGCGCAACGGGTGAATGACCGAAGAACCGATGTAGAAAGTGCCCGCTAATTGGTCAAAATCTAGGAGGGGTCAAGAGGCAGGGTCTTGCCTAATTAATCAGCGAATCTGTTAACGCATAATAGACCATGGCTTTCGCCATGGTCTATTACATAGACTAGCCGTCATTGAGCGAGCCCTATTATTATTAAAAAATGAATTTGCTGTTTATTGTAATATTAAAAATGCATTCTGCGCTCCATACTTGTGCCTAAGTCCGATTCCCAAACGTCACCGGCGACAGTACAAAGCTACGTACTTGAAAGCTTCGCCGTACTGATGACCGGGTACACCGACTATACAAACGCCCTAGAGAAAATCATGGCGGACGTGGCTACGATACTGCAGGAGAGGCTTGACAAAGCCAAAGAAAATCTACAAAGCGTCGATGAGAACATTCGTAAACTGACAGGAAGGGAGCCGGGGGAAAGGAGGTATAAGTCGTTATGTTGAGAAACCAAATCAGTAATGTTTGATCAACTTATGAAGCATGTTTGTTGTTTGTACCATGGAGCAAGGAAAACGGATTGGCATGCACTTGCGAGTTGCTTGCGATTCAATTAATCAATACAATAGGCTAACAAATTGTAACATGGGCATGGCTAAAGAGGGCGCTGTAATGGAAAGAGCACACCCTGCTCCTGACAACATCGTTTCCATAATGATGCAGCCTTGACTTTGTAGGCACTTTTGGTGATTTTTTTCTGGCTCTTGTTGAACATGGGTTTACTTTCAACATAGTCATAGTCCATAGACTAGAGCGTGTTCGGCAATCCTTACTTTTAGGACACCTCTATTTTTTACAAGTTCTGTTCAAAACCGACTTTTGCAGATGACTGTCCAGTACCAAAGTGACTTTTGCAGGCTAAAGCAGTCTTTTTTTCTTCATATAAACTCATGTTAGTTGTAATTTTGAAAGCACTTTCGAAGAAAATGTGACTTTCCTACCTTTTTTCGCAGTCAGACGTGCATGTTGTAGTTCTCACATGCGTGAAAGCCCTACATAATGAAAGCCCGATGCTGATTGGCTGCTAAAAAAATTAATTAGCCTAGTTTGGTTCCCAGACCAAAAGATTCTGACTACTCCTGAATCTTTTGGTCTGGTTACCAGACTAAAAATAAATAAGTTAGTCTGGTTCTCAGACCAAAAGATTCTGACTATTCCTGAATCTTTTGGTCTGGGAACCAGACTAAATATAGGGCCCAAGATGTTTATTTTTTATCAGCCAATCAGCATCGAGCTTTCATCGCATCGAGCTTTCACGTTTGCCATCTTGGTTTTTGAGTCTGTTTTCTGGTTGTCATGTCGTCTTTTACCCCTGAATTTCCCTCATAAATCAAAGCCCTGCCCTCTTTCCACAAAATTAAACCATAAACCTGCTGATATTCAAGAAGGTGTCATTGCCAATTGTTCAGATGTGCCAAGAAGTATCAGAATGTCAATTTTGAGTGTCATTTAGTCAACTGTTTTGGTGAGTCTTTCCCTTCCTATATAGGAACGGGGTCCTAAAAGTAAGGATTACCGTGTGTTCCTTCTCTATGCTTTCTAATTCTAGCCCCATAAATGTGGCCAATTTACTGGACTACCTCCGTAAATAAAGGCCACACTTGGAACATGTACAAAAACATGTAGAAGAACTTTGTCAAATTTGGATTTTCACATTTAGGCTTTCTTTGTAGTTTATTTATGCTTTAGAAGCACACTCACCCTGAGTCTATAGCGATAGAAAATTTATCCCCCCTTTTCAGACATTTACTTTTCGTGTAATTTCGTGTTGGAATTTAGATACGCAAACGTGTCAAAACAAACCTGGAAATTACACAAAATATAGATGTCTGTAAAAGGAGGAATTCATTTTCTATTGCTAGGCCTTTAAAGAGGGTGAGTGTGCTGCTGAAGCATAAATAACTACAAAGAAAGCCTAAATGTGAAAATCCAAATTTGACAAAGTTCTACATGTTCAGGTACATGTTCCAAGTGTGGCCTTTATTTACGGAGGTAGTCCAGTAAATTGGCCACATTTATGGGGCTATATACTTTCAAGATGTTAGACTGGCTTTCAGAAATTGAAAACTTGTTGAATTTTTGAAATCGGTGACCAGAATGGCAAAAGTGGAGATATTTTACTTTTTTGAAGACAACTGTTCCTTGCTTTAAGTAGCCGTGGTAGCAATGACAACGTATCCGCACTATTGATTATTGACAAATAATGTAAAATTCCAAATATTTGAATCGTGACCCAAAAAAAACAACTTGGTTGAAAAGGTTAAATTGGTCGAAAGACTAATGAATTACCTCATGTGGTTTTTTTTTCAGAGTTGAAATCGATGCGGCCTATAAAGTCACAAAATATGCACTTTTGAGTTTTTTGTGATAGAAATGCAGAATCCGTCATAAAAAAATGTCATTTTTAGACTAAAGTTTTCCAGGGGATCACCGATTCTCATCCAGTTCTGTGTTTAGGCCAAAAAAAACACCTCTGCTTCTGGTTACCTGACCGACCCTATTTTTAGGCTGCAACCCTAACAATTGTATCGGCAATTAAAAAATATAATATAATAATAAATGAATAAACAAATGAAAATCCTGATGTCTTTTCTGTCTTCACAAAACACCTCTCAACAACCTTTTTGTGTCAAAAATGCTCTGTATTTATTTGTTTGCCTACTTACATTCGCTATTTTTTTTTTTGAAGAAACCTCTGTTTTTATGCCCCGCGGCGAAGCCGAAGGGGCATACTGTTTCCGCCTTGTCCTTCCGTGGGTGGGTGGGTGGGTGGGTGGGTGGGTGTGTGGGTGGGTGGGTGTGTGGGTGAGTTTGTCTTACATACGCAGTGTGGACTTCCGAACAAAAGACGTCCACATAATGTAGGTAGCACCGACGTTGTGTGGACTTACCCCACGTCCACACAGTGTTTCCCCATTTCTGGAAAACAGGTTTAGAGGCATTTTTGGGTTAGGTTTATCTGTAGCAGAATGAAGAGAAACACTAAAGGGAATCATAGAAAAAAAATTGGGTTGAAAGAGTTTTCACAGTTTGAGAAAAATGAGTTTTTTCACTGGTTTTTCTTAACTACACGAAAGCAATGGAAAGTCCACACTAGTCATGTGAAACAAGTGTGGGTGGGTGGGTGGGTGTGTGGGTGTGTGTGTCCGGACAAATCTTGTCAGCGCGATAACTTGAGAAATACTTTACATATGAACTTCAAATTTGGTTTGTGGATTGTCCTTGGTAATCCTAAGAAGCCTTTTGCATTTGGGGCCGAAAGGTCAAGGGTCAAGGTCACAGTGGCTGAAACAATAAACATTTTGTCAGCGCGATAACTTGAGAAATACTTTACATATGGACTTCTAATTTGGTTTGTGGATTGTCCTTGGCAATTCTAAGAAGCCTTTTGCATTTGGGGCCAAAAGGTCAAGGGTCAAGGTCACAGTGGCTGAAACAATAGAAATTTTGTCAGCGCGATAACTTGAGAAATACTTTACATATGAACTTCAAATTTGGTTTGTGGATTGTCCTTGGCAATTCTAAGAAGCCTTTTGCATTTGGGGCCAAAAGGTCAAGGGTCAAGGTCACAGTGGCTGAAACAATAGAAATTTTGTCAGCGCGATAACTTGAGAAATACTTTACATATGAATTTCAAATTTGGTTTGTGGATTGTCCTTGGCAATCCTAAGAAGCCTATCGCATTGGGGGTCAAAAGGTCAAGGGTCAAGGTCACAGTGGCTAAAACAATAGAAATCTTGTATTTATTCTGAGATCATAGGGATTAGGGATTAATTCATATAAAACCTACAGAAGACACTAATGCTGTCAATGAACGTTCCATTTGACCAAGGTACATGTAAGTTGATGTTAGAGTGGTGTTATGTCATGGAAACAGTCACGGTTGCGGGGCATTTGTGTTTGTAAACACACCTGACTTGTTTACAACTTAAGTTCGCTTTGCGATAACTAGTTTGCAATTCAATGTCGCGGAGACGATATGAAACACGTGCCTTAATGCTGAATGCAGCGATGACTGGTTCCCGCTGCGCTGCGCACTGAAAGGGATAAAGAAGGCATGATGGAAATGCGGTAACAGTCTATGCATGGGTATGGCTGCGGTGCACTGCAGTTGCAGGTCTGATAAGACATCGTAAAAATGCCAAGAAAACACCTATGGAAAGATAACATTTTTGCAAGTTAATTCACACAACTTGATCTCTCTTGTCTGTGTATGTATTTTCTGTGTTCATGAATTTATTTCGAGGTTGTACTACTCGTATTTAGAGTGATACGATGCAGCGTGTTTCCTCGAAATTTCCTACCGTAAAAACGAGGTTTTTCGCCTGCTACACACAGTGCATCACGTACGCTTATACCGCGCGATGTACAGACAGTGTTGGCCAGTTTCCTGTCATGACTTCCGCTGTGCATATGGTGTGCACGACCTGAATTTTCCATTATTTTTAAGACTTATCGAACGTAAATATTTTAACAATAACTAAGGTAAGTTTTAATCACTTTTTGTGGCCATTTTGTGTATAGCTCTCGTAGTGCAATGGAAATAGTTCAGGCTGAAATTTGCATATAATTGAATACCCCATTCAATCTGCACAAAAAATGAAGCTCAATATTGTCTAGTTACCAACATTCATTTGGATGCACAATCTGTTTTCCCCCCTAGCCCCATAAATGTGGCCTATTGACTGGACTACCTCTGTAAAGTAAGGCCACACTATGGGCATACTCACAAGGGCTTGGTAACAAATGGATTTTCACATTCTGACTGCGTTTATAGTTATTTTATGCTTAAACAGCACACTCACCCTGTTAATAGCAAATGCAAAGAAGTCTTGGCTTTCTCAGACGTCTATTTTTTGTGTAATTTCCAGCAGGTTTTGGAGGCTTTTGCACTCGTTTGTGTGTAACTCTATCTATGGGTATTTTGTGCGGCCTTGGTTTTTTTTGGTCTGATGAGGGCGCTTTATTCTAGATTTTTTTATGTAGAGTGTATGTAGCTACACAAATACCATTCCTTTATTTGGAGTCCCATCATACATGTATTAAAGGCATGCACTATGAGCAGGAAACTAGATTTAACATCGCAGACTCTTTTGCGCATGCTCAGTTTCGTGTTGGTGTGCATGTAGTCTACACGACACAACGGTCTGTTCATGCCGTCCCATATGTTACCGCAAATGACTCGATCCTTGATGTATAGTGCGCCCTCATGCATGTACTGTCGGCCAGCTAGCCGTACGATGTATGGTGGTGTACCCTAACGTGGCGCACTTCGAAGCATACCCAAATTTCCTCGTGTAGTGTTGCCAAACCTCTTTGTTGACAAACCTCAAATTCATGCAGTGAAATACAGGTACTTTTACCTTATTAATGCTTGCTGTTTAACCTCTGTGAACAATTTCGGTTTCATAAAATTTAAGCCGAAATTAAAAAACGGTGGCGTCCGGAAATTGGGCACAATTTGGCGGAGTGTTCCCTAACGTGGCGCACTTAAATAAATCTCGGGAAATTCCAAATTAACATTTAAGAATTTCTGAAAACTTGATAAATTCTGATAAATCATTATTATCTCTACTTACATACCCAGCCAGATGTTTGTCACAAAATTATTTTCTTATTTTTCGGGGCATTTTCAAAGGGTTCACTTTGCACTTGAAAATAAAATCGGAAAATCACGCCAAAATAAGTTTTTCTTTTAACTTTGTAGCGGGTAAATAAATTCGCGATTTATGAACGGGAGTGTTTATAACTTGATGAAATTTCACTTTCTGTGAAATTTCAGTTAAAACTTTTGCTCTAGCTAGGCGCTACAGGCGAAAAATCAAAGTGCGCCACGTTAGGGGGCGCGCCACGTTAGGGTACATCAACAATACGTAGGTATGCACGCGATATACCATGGGCGAACGGGATCCGCCACTGTACGTGGTATTGCGTGCATACATGTACATCGCCCGGCTAGCTGGCTGACGGTACACGCATGTACAGTACATGTAGCAGGGGGTACCGCAATTAAACTATGAATAGTAACACACTGAGTATACAGTGTTTATATGTATACATCAGTGACGGGCAAAACCTCATATTGACTTTCATCTCCCCGACGCTAATTCCATCTTATGAATAGTTAAATTGCGGTACCCGCGGCTACACAAATGTACATGAAGGGCAGTTCCACGGTTTGATGGACATGGTTAAGAAAAAAAAGTTTTATTTTTTAACCCAGTTTCACATTTTGATTACAGATTATACATTTAAGTATGAGAAATTAACAAAGAAAACCCAATTTTATCAAACATTTTTTGAGAAATCGTGTTGTTAAGTGAAAAATATTTTTTTACTACAAAGAACTCAAAAAAATTGGTAAAGTTAAAACATTGATTGCTATTAATACAATTAGAGATATTTCAATCATAACCTTATTTCTAGCATGTACATGTATGATAGTCTTAATCTCTGAAACATATGTCAATTCACAGCCGTCATCCATTTTTAGATGTCAAATGTAGCATTTTATACCTCCTTTTTTTTGGTCAGTGTAATGGGAGTAACCGAACAGATATAAAAGTTTTTTCTCACCAACATTTCTAATGAATTAAATTTTGGTATTTATGATTATCTTTCTTTGCGTGAACATAGATATAAATATAAGTGTTTTGTTGACACTAATACACACATTTAAGAATAAAAGGCAACTAAATTTGGTAATGTGAGTAACTTTTGTAGCGTGAGTAACCAAAAATGTAACGTGAGTAACCAAGTTTATTATCCCAAGTCACCCAAACTATACCCAAACTGACTTTTGCTTGATAACTGTTCATCAGGGTATTTTGGCTAGAAACCCTGCCAAACGCAGCAACATGCAACACTTGTCTAAGTGACAAGCCTGCCCAGTGTAGCAAGATCCATCAGGTCAAAAGTCTCAAGGCCAAACTGCCTCAGAGTCTGTGGTCCCCCAACGCAGCAGGATACAACTCGGGCATTGTTCTATGGGACTAGCCCTCAAGTGTCTCAGAAGTGGCCGGTTTCTGCACTGGTGTTGGTAGCATTTTCCATCAAAGTGCAGCAGACTTTTCCACCTGATGCACTGTGCTGCGTCTGGCAGGGTTAGGGTTAATTAAACCAAAGAACCACAAGCATTAAAAATACTTTTAAGCATATTTTATCCTGTTTATGGTGCAAAATGGTCTTTGAAACAGCATGATTTTTAAATTGAATCTAATTACAGTATTTTATCAAGTGTTTATGTTGTTAAATGGAATAAGGAAGACACTTGTACGTCCCTACATTGAAATTAAAATGTTTATTTGGAACAAAAGCTAAATTACATTACATGTACATGTAGGTACATGTACTTCACACTAAGCTACCGATACAGTGGCATGCCCTGGGTTCCCTGGAACCCACTCTCCACATCATAGTCTCTGATAGTGTGGCCTTTCCAATTTCCATGGACCCAATATTCTGTGCTATAGTGGCATACATGCAGTTTTAGCAGACTCTCAGAACATGAGAGGTTTGTTCTGATGGCTCAGCATTAGTTAAAACAAACCTAAATTACAGCTGGACTTAAGAGGAAACATCAAATTCCTGATATGTGATCAGTATGCACTGTAATAGTATCAGAATAATGTCAGATGAAAACCTTTATCTTGGAGTACTTGCCAGTGGAGATCCAAAATGCAAATTTAAGTGAGAGTTTTTAGTAGTTCTGATGCCTATTGGGTAAAAAAAAATATACTAATTATGATAATTTAGTCAAAAAAATCATGCCATAAAATTCTGAGATGGGTCGGACAAAATGTAACGTGAGTAACCGTAACATGAGTAACCAAGTTTTTTGTGGATTGCAAAAAAAAGGGAGATTCTAGAGGATTTGTTTTACTCTTTATGTTTGCCCCATGGCATGGTCTTTTTATCAGTTTAAAAGAAATTTCCACAGGTTGCCTGTATGAGGACACTTTTTGATCAAAGCATGTTTGCTTTCACTCAGGAGGTAATGCATTGAGTATACAGTGTTTATACGTCAGTGAAGGGCAAAACCTAATATTGATTCCATCTTATGAATAGTTCATAGCTGTTGCTATGGGCCCTGTTTCACAACTTGATTTTTTACAAAGAAACTTTTTCTTGAACTCAGATTGCCAGAGACTGGCTTGACTGGTGATCGTGGCAGAGACAGGGATCAACACAGACTGTCACTGGGGATCCCAGGACCAAGGGGCAGGGGTAGAGGCAGAGGAGGTGGAGTGCAAAGGTAAATGGCCCTAGGTGCATGGGGACATGTCAACATTGTGTTAGAAACACTTGCTGGTTTTGATGGATTGAATCATGTACAGCCAATTCATGGATGGACCCTGAAGATTTGGTCCAGGCTATATATGATGTTTGTAATCCAGTATGTGTAAATTCTGACCTGTGGTTAACTGTTTAACTCTAACTTCCAAGTGTTTTTCGAAGGCCAGAAAAAAATGGTGTTTTAATTCAGCGATATCATCCACAAGCTGGTTTACCCGATCATAGATCGGGTAGGGCGTAGTGTTGGGGATGAAAATGTGGGGAGTTAAATGTAAATGGGGGATATAGTTGGTGAGACATGCAGTTAAAGAATATCAATTTCTGTTGTGTGATCTGAGGCAATTTCTGATCACTAAAACCAATTTGAGCAAAAGATCATCTGTGAAAGTTTTGAGTTTTGAGTAATTGAATCAGCTACATGTATTCTGAGCAATAGAATCATTATTGTAGGCTACAATATTTTTATTCGGGGAAGAAAAAGTGTGTGGGGGGGGGGGAGACCAAACAATGTCCCCCCTCAAAATGTGGGGGTGTGTGTGTGTGTGGGGGGGGGGGTCCCTGTCCCCCGTCGATTTACGCACATGATAATTATGTACCATGGCAACTGTCTGTAAATGTTGCCGTTGGTCTGTTAAATTGGCTTTTTGTGAGGCAGTCGCATTTGGAAAACGAAGATCATCTTTTAAACATCAGTTTCGAGTTTGGTGTCATTGAATCAGCTATTCTGAGTAATGGAATCATTATACATGTAGTAGCTACAATTTTTATTCGGGGAAGAAAAGTGGGGGGGGGGGGACCAAAAAGTCTCCACCGCTTTAAAATGGGGGGGGGGGGGGTGGAGGGGTTCCCCGTCCCCCACCGATTGACGCCCATGATAATTATGTACCATGGCAACAGTCTGTAAATGTTCCCTTTGTCTGTTAAATTGGCATTTTGTGAGGCAGTGGCATTTGTGAGAAAACGTACTTGAAAGGCTTGCCGTAGTACACAGGCGAAGGCTGATTAAGAAGGTCATAATTAAGTTTCAGTATATTGGACTCTTCAACAAACGTAAACTTGAACGTCTTACAATTTGCGACACTGTCTGCGAGGAACTTGTCGAGTCAACTGTTATTCAACTTGGGTCAACCATCTATATAAGAGCAAATTTTACTCGGCCTCCGAGAAATGTTTGCTCCTGAAACGATCTGAGACCGCGGTCTTTCGCGACGCCAAAATCGCTCCACGTCCGTGGAAAAATGTGGAGGGTGTCTTCCGCCGGATCGGACACATTTTCGTTGATTTTTTGTATGACTGCGTTTAAGATCGCGATGTTTGAAGCAATGCATCGATCCTTCGTTGATCCCAAACAGGCCCCCGAAATTATAACGCAACACTGTGGCGGGCAGCGAACTCACAACGCTCAGCCTTGGTGGAAGCATGGAGCTGTATTAACACACGATGGAAGCAACAGAGCACTATACACGTCACTCACATGCTTGTGCTTCAAATCATGCAAATAGCGAGCACCGTAGACCCAACCTAGTTTCCAGGGTGTGGAGCAGGCTGCAGTACGCGTTGCCATCGACAGTTTTGCATAGCCCGGATATACTACGCAGTGTAGACTTTCGATTGGTCAGACCGCGCAAGGCATACTTAATGTGTAGTCCTTCTGAGTATTCGTTGCACTCGGCGCAGGGGCGGCAAGCGAAGCATATGAAAGAATAGGGGCACTCGGTGGCCACGCACTATGGAGAAAAAATATTTTACCAAGGTCACGCCATATCACAATTTGGTGAACGCTTTGGCAGTACGGCTGAGTAGAACACGTAAACGAAACCCCTACGTTGACCTCGCTGACCTCGCACAGTCTAGACTCGCAGAAAAGCCAGCACAGGGGGCGGCCAGGCAGTCAACGTGAAAGCGCACACGACGGAAAATTCCTGTGCAAAATGCTGTCACGAAAAATAGACGAAAAGGATCGCCGGTCCGTACGGGAAAATCAGGACGACCCGAAGTGTCCGACCCGGCGGAAGACACCCTCCGTATTTTTCCACGGACGTGGAGCGATTTTGGCGCCGCGGGAGCCCGCGGTCTCGGATCCTTTCATGAGCAAACATCGTCTCGGAGGCCGAGTTAAACTCTCTCTTATATATATAGATACTAAAAGTATAAGTGTGGACAGTAAAAGATGAAGACCAACTGCAGCTAAAAGGGCTAGTTAATCGCATTATGGTTACCAGTCTGTAGCATGTAGCATTGCTACAGGATTTGTGGTGGGAGTCCCCATGTCTCAAATGTTGCTCCATATGCATTATAAGAAACTAAATAATATATCAAACAATTGTGGCATACAATATGAACCTTTCTCTAACCCTCCTGCTATCTGAACACTCACAAACAGTCAAAAAATCCTCTTCCCTTCCATGCACTTTACACAGGCTAGTCACCAACAGTCAGATCATATTTCAAGCAAGCACTGTCACTAGTCCATGAATGTCAACCAGTGCGTCAGTGGTGGATTCCATTATGTCATGTACAGTTTTGTATTGGAAGCACAGTGATTGATGGATTTGATGGACTTGGTCCAGTTCCTAGTAAAAGACGGTAGGGAGTTAGGGTTAAAAGTAAAAGTATGTTTGACATGATAGATTAGTGTTCTTGTTCTCTTTACAGGGCAGATGCTTTTCAGCGTTTGGGCTTACCTATCATTAGGAGACAAAGCACTGGCAGTGCATTCAGCAGGTCAGTACATGTACATGTATTCTTTGAAAAGTGGTGTGATGCATTCTGTGTTGAACGTGATCAGGCCTGAAACGTTTTCTTTTAAGCTCTGGCAGGAGCTTCTACATGTCACTTAGTGGTCAGTCTGTCCGTCCCAAAAATTGGCCAAAAGTATGGTGTTCCATATGTGCCATCAGCGTCGCATTTTTAAAAAGCTCTGACAGGGATCAGTTTGATCGATTTCATGCAAGACTTTCATGCAAGACTTCTTGCAAGGTCAGCCTCGCTTGAGTCTAACACAGACAGAGCTTATTGTGCACTCGCACAGTTTGTTAGTTACTGGAAACTTCAATTACAATTAACATTTGAAGTAAACCCCACAATAACAGCCAAATACTGATTTTTGAAAATTTATATACCAATTAAATTACATTTGTTTGTTTCTTGGAGTAATTTACTTTGTGTGTTTGTGTGATTGGCAGGCTGGGAGGCCGTGTGGATGGACCGCAGCCCAAGCGCCCACGGAGGAAGACTAATGATGATGATGATGATCTGCCTAAGGTTGGCAGATACATTTGTTTCTTTGTGCCATTAGTCATGTAGCAAAGTGGGAAATATGCTTGATCCAGCAGCATTACTGAGAAACAGGTTTACCCTGCTTAATCTATCCTGAAAACCTGAAATTAAACGGGTGGATAAAACTGAAGTTTGATGAATCCAGAAGCAAAACAGCGAGAGGCATGTTGAATCCAACTGAGTCCAACAGCAACAAAGAGTATGGCCTGCTGAATCCATCACATTCCAACAACTGCAGAAAGTGAAACTTGCTGAATCCATCAAATTCCAACAACTGCAGAAAGTAAAGCTTGCAGAATCCATCAAATTCCAACAACTGCAGAAAGTAAAGCTTGCTGAATCCATCCAATTCCAACAGTTGAAATGTATGAGGCTGGCACAGTCCAACAGCATTCCAGAGCTAGAAAGAGTTTAATATGCTGAAACCATCAAAATCTCACAACAACTCTGAGTAGTATTTGCTGAACCCTACAGACATGTTTATCAGATTTTCTTATTAGAGTTACTTTCTCTTATCTTTCAGCACACCATCCAATCCTCTGTTGTAGCTACCCCTAAGGTGGTCAAAACACGCCAAGAATCCATTCAGGAACAGAGCAAGGATGTCCAAGGACAGAAAAGGTAGGATGCCACTATTTCTTACAATAAAAGAGGGTACAAATATGTTACTCCCCCCAGGAAAAAAACCGATTAACTAAACAAACAAGCATTTTTACTGCATCGAGGAATATGCAAGTTCATATGCAGATTCTTCTTCAGCACTAAAGATTGAAAGTTGTTGGTACAATGTGACCAGGAAGTAAGCATTCATGCCTCAGATGGTGTAAATGACTTGATATTACATGTTTTGTTGAACTCTTCCGAGTATTAAATTAATTCCCTAAATTAGATACATAAAACTATGGCGTGGCATATATAAAGCTATCCCAAGTGGGATCCACTTATAGCAAATAATATATTCTTGCTATGAGCTAAGACTGGAGTAATATCCATTCATAATATTACTGATGTTTATATTGGTGAGCACACTCTTAAACTCTACTCTGGTCTTCACCCTTTTCATACAGGAATCGGCGAATGTTTGGTCACCTGTTGGGTACTCTGCAGAAATTCAAACAGGAGTCCACTGACATGGAAAGCAAGGTATTAACCAGTCTCAAGAGTCTTTTATGTGTCACTTCTATGCAACCTTTGGTCTGATCTGGGCAATGTATATTATTATATAACCGACATCCAGATCCTTGTCATTTGATTGGTGGAACTCACATCACGTGGCATTCGTTATTGCTCCCATTCATGCCGCGGCTCAAAAAGTACTATCCGCCCATGGGGAATGGGAAATACTATTGAACAGTTAGGATCACGACGTGGTATTTGTGTGCAAATGCATGCTGGTGTGCGCGTTCAGCGTTGCGCGTAGCGCGTATTGTTCCAAAGAGCCAGCGCTACAGCGTTGGGTTCAAACATTTTCGTGAAAGGGTGGTTTGGAAGAGAGAAATATATTTTCCTCCAGTTTTGTATTGAAAAAAGTTCAAATATATCAAATGACAAGGATCTATATGTCAGTTATATTAAACAAATATTGAGTGGCTTTAAATTGTGAAATGGGAGGAATATTATCGCTCGGTAAAATCTGGACTTTTCCAGTTCACTCGGCTTCGCCTCGTGAAATTGAAGAGTCCAGATTTTACCTTGCGATAATATTCCTCCCATTCCACACTGAGCCACTCAATATTTGTATACCATCCTCCTACTATCCACAGTCACAGTAGGGCATGTTGTAGTAGTGTTTGTCATCTGACTCATGATTGAGGACTACAACCAACCCCTGGGTTTTGACAATCAAAATGACCATCGCTTGAAGTGGGACCTGAAATCATGTGATAAAGCAGGTGTCTTTAGTCTGGGGAATCCAGAGAAGAGTTTACTCGCAAATGGCTTATTGATGACACAGGAAGTTCAATGGAATGCAGCTTTTACCTTATTTTCTTAGGCTCCTTTGGCTAGGAACCATCCTCAATCCTGCAAAATCCTCCAATTGCCACCATGTAAAAATTGGATACTGCCTCAATCCTCCAAATCATCTTTTATTCCTTGAATATGTTCAGTGGAGGGGTGACCATTGCCTCAATCTTTCAACATTTCTAACAACCACTGTAATACATTGAGGCCGTGTGGATGATATCCAGAAGCAGTGTGGATATTATCTATATATATAAGAGAGAAGTTTACTCGCCTCCGAGACGATGTTTGCTCCTGAAAGGATCCGAGACCGCGGGCTCCCGCGGCGCCAAAATCGCTCCACGTCCGTGGAAAAATGCAGAGGGTGTCTTCCGCCGGGTCGGACACTTCGGGTCGTCCTGATTTTCCCGTACGGACCGGCGATCCGTTTTGTCGATTTTTCGTGACTGCGTTTTGCGCAGGAATTTGCCGTCGTGTGCGCTTTCACGTTGACTGCCTGGCTGCCCCCTGTGCTGGCTTTTCTGCGTGTCTAGACTGTGCGAGGTCAGCGGTTTCGACGTAGGGGTTGCATTTACGTGTTCTACTTAGCCGTTCTGCAAAAGTGTTCACCAAACGGTTGTATAGGGTGACCTTGGTAAAATATTCTTTGTCCATGGTGCATGGCCACCAAGTGTCCCTATTCTTTCATATGCTTTGCTTGCCGCCCCTGCGCTGAGTGCAACGAATACTCAGAATGACTACACATTAGTATGCCTTGCGCGGTCTGACCAATCGAAAGTCTACACTGTACTTCCGGGGTCTGCGTAAAACCGTCAATGGCAACGCGTACTGCAGCATGCTCCACACCCTGGAAACGAGGTTGGGTCTACGGCGCTCGCTATTGCACAAGCATGTGACGTCGCGTGATAGAGTGCTGTTGCTTCCATAATGTGTTTACAGCTCCATGCTTCCACTAGCTCTATGCTTCCACCATAGAGCAAGGACCTTGCTCTATGCTTCCACCAAGGCTGAGCGTTGTGAGTTCGCTGCCCACCACGTCACGGTATAATTCAGTGTCGCGTTATAATTTCGGGGGCCTGTTTGGGATCAACGAAGGATCGATGCATTGCTTCAAATATCGCGATCTTGAACGCAGTCACAAAAAAACGACAAAACGGATCGCCGGTCCGTACGGAAAAATTAGGACGACCTGAAGTGCTTGATTTAGAGGAAGAAATTCTCCGTATTTTTCTATGGACGTGGAGCCATTTTGGCGTCACGGGAGACCGCGGTCTCGGATCCTTTCAGGAGCGAACATTTCTCGGCGGCCGAGTAAAACTTGCTCTTATATAGATGGTTGACCAACTTGAATAAAAGTTGAATCGACCTTTTCCTCGCAGACGGTCTCGCAAATTGTAAGAAGTTCAAGCTTACGTTTGTTGAAAAGTCCAATACTGAAACTTAATTATGACCTTCCTCCATCATTCAGACCGTTTGTAATTTTATGGTAACACTCAACATTTTCATTGCAAATGACAACTTCACGTTTGATTGCATTATGATTTATTGTCAAAACTGTACAATCAGCCTTCGCCTGTGTACTACGGTAACCTTTTCACTATGTTTTCCCGGCAATGCGACTGCCTCACAAAATGCCAATTTAACAGACCAACGGGAACATTTACAGACAGTTGCCATGGTACATAATTATCATGTGCGTAAATCGGTGGGGAACAGGGAGAACCCCCCCCCCCCACATTTTAAAGCGGGGACATTGTTTGGTCCCCCCCCCCCACACTTTTTCTTCCCCGAATAAAAATTGTAGCCTACTATAATGATTCTATTGCTCAGAATACCGTGTATAGCTGATTCAATTACCCCAAGCTCGAAAATGATGTTTCAAAGATGATCTTTTGCTCAAATTGGTTTTAGTGGTCAGAAATTGCCTCAGATCACCAATTGTTTTTCTATAACTGCATGTCTCCTCAATGATCCCCCATTTACATTTAACTGCCCACAGTTTCATCCCCAACACTACGCCCTATATACCCGATCTATGATCGGGTAAATCAGCTTGTCCAGTATAAGGCCCAAAAAATAATACTTCTGCTTCCGGTTACATGGCATTCGAAAAAAAGGGTAGGTAGGTAGGTAGGTAAAAAAAAATTCATTTTTTTGTGTACGATCATATGAAGGCGTCTGCGTTTAGTCAAGGGTAAAAGGTAAAAAATTGATAGTTTTGGGTGTTTTTTCCCCTCATTTTTCCAATAAAAAAATTAGGGTAGGGGCTGTCAGAATAGGGTAGGTAGGGAAATCGGAAGCAGAATTTTTTTTTTTTTTTGGGCCTAATGTGGGCCTTAATTATGCATGGTGAACATAACGCAGGGCACAGCCTTCGACCTGAATAATAGTGCATCCTCCAAAATCAGCTGACACTTTTTTGCCATTCAATGTCAATCCGCCAAAATCCTCCAAAAGTCTTCGTTGATTTTAGAGGATTGAGGAGGGGTTAGGGTAAATGAACAGTTAGAGACTCCTTGCTATTAAGTACATGTAACCCCCAAAAGTGAGAGCCAGAAAGAGAGCCCTATCCCCACTGCTATACTCCAGTCTGACAAATTATGGATTTGTCTGGCATTATTTGGACGCTTCCCTGTCTGAAAATAAGTGCTCTGAACATGTTGCTAAAGGAGATTGCATTGTGAGAAACACCAAAGCGAGCTTTAGTGCATTCCAGTAAAGGTGGAAGGGGACACCAACAATCACAACAAGTGTGCAAATCAGATTGATCTATACATGCATGTAGATTGTCTGAAATGTCCTGCACCCTCTCACACTCTCATTGTTAGGTTATACCTCTCCCTTTTATTCACTAATTTCATAGTCCGTACCAAACATTATACTACAACAAACGTCCTACATGTATTATACTGTAAGTTTATGAACTTGCCAATAATTGAGGGTTAGTTATAATGTGTGAGGAGCTGTGGCAGTCCAATGAATTGTAACATTGCTTTGGTTTTGCACCTGTTTCTTTTCGGGAACAGGAGAGGAAGCGATCCGAAATTGAGAAGAAACTGGAGGAGCAAGCAGTTGAAGAGAAGAAAGAAGTGGCAGCCCAGAGATCTCAGCTGTTCACAGAGCGTCGGAACCAGCAAGCTGAGCTACAGAGATTGGAGAGATTGGTTGATATTGCAAAAGAGGTAAAAGCAGAGTAGCACTGGCACGTATTGGTGTGCTGCAGCCGAACCACTGAACCGAACTAAAATTTGCAGAACATAGCACTTCCGAACTGAACCAAACTCAATTGTTCAGTTCAGATGTTTCAGAAACATGATGTTTAGTGCTGCATATTTCATTTGCACAACCAAAATAATCAAAATAGATACCTTAAAATTATTTAATTTTACTTCTAATTAAAAGCAAACAATTTTTAGGCTGAAAAACGTAACATAATTTGTGGGTGAATAGACAATATTACTATACCTCATACATATTCATGATCGAGGGCCAAGTTCCATTCACCATCACGTGTCAGCCGCTAGTTTTGCTGTTTACTAAGCGCACGCGATGTTTCATGCACAGGTTGAACACTCATGCGTAGTAGACTATCGCACTGGTTACCAGTGTGCTAGTCTACTACACATGCGCTTTACGAAGCAGTCATGGAAATAGCGCACGGAATGCAGTGCGCACGCGCGAACATCACCCTAGCATGCATCATGCAGCAGCTACATGAAAAGATGGGGCACACGCACAGCAACATTTTGCCGAGAAAACTAATGCAAGATTTTTGTGAAAGTACGGGTAAGCGCAAGGGAAGTAATCCAATGCGCTCTGTGAGGTATAGTAAAACAAATAAAACATGTGTAAGTTCGGGTGGATATTCGATATTACCTCTGGGAGATCACCTCGGGGAGCTAATATCGACTATCAACCCTCAAACCGTGTTTTATTTATATATTTGCTCCCTGAGGTATTGGAAGTTGACAAACTTGCTCCCTTGGCGGACCATCTCAAATAAACCATGTTATTTTTGTTTTACTATACCTCATACAGATTCACGTCATACATATTTAGGGCCAATGATTTTCCGTTTCAGAAAAGTGCAAATTCCGTTTTCAAAAATCCTAAATTCCGTTTCAGGCTGAAAAATTCTGTTTCACATTTACTCAATACATAAAAGTGCATTTAAATAAACACCAGGTACACTGAGACGATAATGAAATAGTCGTTTGGTTGGAACACGGGAAAATTTCCAAAAAAAGATTGCTATTTTATCAATGGATGATCAATTTACAGACATAGTATTTAACTTCACTGCGTGCTGTCGTCATTAATACTGCATCGCCACCACCACACACGTAAGAAACATGCAATAGCCGTATATGCCACGACGTCACACCCATCAGCTGGCTGAAGTGTGCTTCGTGTCCGCTAACGGCGACAAAATAGGATAGTTTACGGTAGGTTTTTAGACCTGGATAAGTGAATAAGCACAACATGCATTTCAATAGAGCCAAAGTTAGATGTTAACGAATGGTTGATGTTTGAACGGAGAAAAATATACCTGCCGATGGAGCAAAAGAGACCCGCGAGAGTGTGCCGTGAGTGTGATGATTATCACCTATGTGCTGACCGACAGCTGCGGCGCGCGTTGGGTCTGTCACTACGGTAATGTCACTACGGTAATGATCTCATAACATTTATTGCTCTGATCTTGAATGTTTTTCCCCCCTAATAATCATGAGCTAAACAACACTCATGTGTTATATGGTTTGTCTGTTCAATCAATCATCAACAATTTGTTTTGGACTCAATAAATTTTACGAAATTATGGTTTTTATCAATTGATAAAATTGCAGAAGTTATTTTCTTTACATTCAAAGCAGGTTCTGCGAATTAAGTCTGTTTCCGCGATCGCGGAAAACCATTGGCCCTACATATTCACCTCATACATGTACATATTCACCTCATACATATTCATAAGTTACACACCAGTTATCCTTATATAAAAAAAAACCCATTGCTGTGGGTGTGCTGCACTCTTTTCATTTGGCTAGGGCACTTTTGCATGTGTGCACAGTCCCTGTGCAATAGTTCCACGATAAAACACATGCGTAGTAGACTATCGCATCTAATCTGTGCCATACTTTACTGTGCATGCGTACATGTATGTATCCTGTGCATGAATCCTTGGGTGCACACTTGATAAATAGCAAACCATAGCGGCCAACACATGATGGTGAATGGACCATTAACAAAATCTGCTCTCATTCATGAACATGTTTGAGGTATTGTAATACTAACTTAAAATGAAAGGAAATTCAAGTCATGTGTGACGAATTAGGGAATAACAGTGTGAGGAGCCCGTCTTCACTGCGTGATAATGACCGCGTTGGGGGATGGCTGCTGTTAATGGACAGAGCCGAAATAAACAGTTAAAATGCTCAAATTTTGACTTTTCTTTCGGCGATATTTCCAGACTTTTTGTGTTCATGTTGAGGGGCCATATTTTAGCTTATGGCTTCAATATGTTACCCTGTCTCTTCAATGTGTTTTTCTTCTTCATTGCATTATGACTGACGTCCAGCGTATGGACTTCTGCTGTCAAAGCGAAACAAATTACAACAAATATTTTTTATATTTTTACCTGACTGAGGAAGCTGGAATTTCGTTTACATATTCCTTGTGTCCAGAATTACAAAGATGCTCGGTTTAGAAAAAGTAAATATGTCCTTGTGTACAGAAAATAAATCAAAGCTTTCATCGTAAACATCCTCAGTACGAACATGTCGTGTGAAGACTTATTCCACGCGCACATTGCAACTGTGTTGCATACAGCGCATAAGTCTTCACAGGATGGTGGTTGAGCGACGTGTACTGCTGTATTGTTACAAGGTACCGTAGGATTGTTGTATATTTGGCCAATCATTGGCTTATGATGCTGGATCAACGCTGGTTCAGGGGCCATTTGTTCGCTTGTTTTGAAGCCGGTCTATATATCACGTTTTAATGCACCCTCACGTGATCGAGACTTGACCAATCAGAAGCTATGAACTCTCCAAGGTATTTATTGATTTGAGTTGAAACCCACATTTGGAAGATCTTGTCACCACACAAGCGTCCAGCATCACTACCACTTTGCTAGGGACACATTTCATGGTACTTAAATTAAAGGTCGGAAAGTTTTGTTTTAGTAACAACAGGTTACCAACCAAAATGCTATGCCTTTGGCTGATTCCCTGCTGATTTTTGCTGGGCAAGAAAATAGACTAAATGATATGTACTGCTTAGCAGCTGCATGGAATTAGCCTGGGAAAAAGTGTGTGTAGAAATGAAGAAATAAACAAAATGTCATGGCAGCATTGCTGTTTGGCATAATTAACCTCTATATATTTCCAACGACCTTCTTCAATCCTGCCGCATCCTCCTGCACTTTCTGTTGGATTTTGAAGGCTTTAACATTAAATGTTTTCTTTTTCTACAGCAAGAATCTTGGGACGCTCATACTAAGAAGCTGAGTAACTTTATACGCACCAAGGCCAAGCCCCCAATATTCTACAAGCCAGCCAAGCCCTCGCTAGTGACTGAAAAAAACTTAATGGACTCCAAGGAACTGCTGAATGGTGAGGCAGTTTTTATGTGTTAATATCCACTGCTTGTTTACAGCACTTGGTACGAATTTGGAAGGATGAGGAGGACCAGTAGATCTCAGGACAGACTTGTAATCCTGTGGTCTTGATACTTTGATGCATGCAGGACTTGATACAGTGGCCGATATGGGAGGGTGGAACTTTTGGCAAAGATTGAAGTGAATTGAAGAGTGCCGTACATGTAGACACCAAGGGTTAAATGAAACGTGTTCTAAGAAAACCTGGATAGAGTTGCACATATTTGATGCATTCCAATAAGTGTTTTTTTCCCCCTGCCTTCAGATGTTGTTTCTTTATGACGTTGTTAGGCATGGTCTGGTACCTAGTATTCGATCAGTTACCACCACATGATTCAGTACATAATTAAACATGATTCTACGTGTAGACTAAAACCAATACCTCAATTAATGAAGGCAAGCAATGGCCCCTTAAGTTTCTGATATTTTACTGGTTGCTGTGCATTATGAGCACTGTTTCTTCCCTGTAATTGGCTTGGTTGACAAATAAAGTGTAGACATGGCAAGCAGTATGTGTGTGTGCTGCATGCATATGTGTAAGTACCCAAGTTAGTTGACTCTGCATCCGACGTTTTCAAGGCTTAAGGATCATATTAAACACCACCCTGGTATTGGATCATTTGCATGTGCAAGATTTTTGAACACGTATGCAAATGAGGAACAGTCTGAAGCCTGGATATGCGTTACACATTAGCGTTTGTTTTTGTATGCGGTGTCTGGGGTAAAAACAGAGTCAATTCGTAGCAGCGCGAGCACGGCGTGAGTTACAAAAACACGATTTTTTGAAATCAAACTGTTACGATCTTATCGAGACAACATGCAGTATCATATTTCATATTAATATGAGCAAATTGGAAAGGAAATTAGTATTTTCGAGAAGGCGTGGACGAATGATCGCGAAAACACGTACTGCACGTTGTGAATAATAGCACCAAGTACACGATACAAATCCATTACTAGCCAATTGCGGTATCCAATCAGGATACAGGAAGAAAGTTTCCTATCCAGGGTTTACTATTGGAAACGCGGTTGGAAATAAAGTAAGCACTGGGGACGAGGTTGATTAAACACTGACCAGTCTCTGCCTGACTATGCAACATTGTAGTCTGGTTCCCAGACCAAAAGATTCTGACTATTCCCGATGAATCTTAGGTCCGGTAGCCTCCGGTAATACATTGTATTACAATTTACGTCACGTGACTAAAACGGGAGGAATTCCTCCTTTTCCGAAAATTTCCGAAGTTTGCCGAAGTCGTTTCGTCGACAATCGGATAGCGCCCGAGTATTTCCGAGTATATGATATAGGTTTAATTAACTGCTAAATGCTTATTAATTTTATTTTGAATCAGTTGATAATTAATATTCATTGCTTTCAGTTAGAAAACTTGAAATTCAACGACGATTTTGTGCATCAAATATACTCGGATCAGATGGGCGAACTTTTTGCTGCGTCATGTACAATTTTGAATTCAACTTTGTTTCAGTTTCATTGATACACGTCTCAAATGATTGAGACGTGGAGGAAGGGAGGATTTGTATTTGCAGAAAATCTTTCCATTAGATAAAATCCTTTGTAGAACGGTTCGAATTATATCAAGTTACATATGTGTAATAAGAAAATATTTGAATTGAGATGTAGTTTGTCGACATTGGAGCAAATTTTTTTTTTATACTCTGCAAAATTTTTACCTTAAGGGCCTGTGTCACATGATGGTCTTTTGTAAGTAAATTGACATAGATATGATATCCCCTGCATCAACAGTTCATAAAATTGATTGCGTTGCAGATATGATGAAGAAGCGACGAGCTGAGATTGAAGCAGAGATCCAAGAGATGCATTCAGAGCACGCTAGCAAGGAGACAGAGCTTGATGGGCAGGAGATGACCAAGGTCACCGAGGTAAAGGGTAAGACCAAAGATAAAAAGAAGAAGCACAGTAAGGGTAAGCATGAGGAACGCAGAAATGGGAAACATAGCGAACCAACAGATGGAGCGCCCGCAACGGAACCAGGGGATAGCGATGACGACGACAAGAGAAATGCTAAGGATGTGGCTGCCGACTGGGTTCAAGAGAGGGTGGTTGGAGAAGGGGAGCCAGGTAAGGATGGGGTTGGGAAACAGGGGTCAGAATCATCTTCTTCCGGGGAGGAGGAGGAAGGGGAATTGCAGGATAGGAACAGTCAGGATGAGGCAGCAGGCATGGCGGAGAAAGCAGCCACCCATGCTGCTGCTGATGATACTGATGATGGGGATCAAGAAGAAGGGAAGGAAAACATTGAAGCCAACAAGCAGGACTTCCGGAGTGCTTTGTATCCTGAGGAGGATCAGAGGCAGGAGTTATCCTGGGAGGATGAACCCATGGAGCAGTGATGCCAAAATCATCACCTTCAAAAACTGTTTTTATTTCATAATGAACTGCACTCTTGTATGACGACTCATTAGATGTCTGTTACACTCCTGGAGTATACTTCTCTATCATAATAGTGCTACTGCTGACCATTCAGACTGCACTGTTGGCCCAATTGATTTTTACTGTGCAAAGGTATCATCTGCAGCATCTAGAAAAGCGCACACTGCCTAAAGGTTATTGTGAAGATAGTGATGATATTTCATTTTTTAAACCTAGCTATTTCGTGTGAAGCTAGCGAAAAACAAACTTGTTACTGCAGTATTTTTTTTTTCAACATATTTTTCTTCCAATTCATTTGAGTGATATTACAGCAGACTGGTTTATTATGTGGATGTAACAGACTTGTAATCAAGTCCCATGACAGGTTACATCATGACCGTATCGCATCATTTTGTGTTATATGATGTGCTGTATTAATAAACAATCAGCTGGGATGATTAAAGAGGAAAGGGTCAATAAGTTACAAGGTCCTGTCTTTTTGTGTTCACAAAAAAGAAAAAAGAAAAAAAATTGTTTTCCAAACTTTGCTCGTGATCAATTTTTAATTCACTTTTGAAAGGAGTGTTTATGTCGGAATAGAAGCGTTTAGTATTTGTAACCAATATTGGCAATAACTACAACCAAATAAACTCTAGAAAATGTTAACCATTCAAATAAATAAAAAATGGCACGTTTAAATGAACATCAACATTTCACAATTTGCATGCTAAAAAAGTTAAATCGAAAATAACGGTCTTCAAATCTGAAACGTTTTCTCCAGTTTTCTTTTAGTACATGTATCGCATGTTTGCCTTCTAAAGTCCACAAGCAATGTCCCATTATTTACCTTTTAGAACTTGTTGGTCAAAAACAAGACTACACTTGCATAGTGAGTTGGACCTTTTCTCGATTTTGGACATAATTTATACTCACTGACTCAGTCAGTCACTCAATGACTCAGTCTCCCAATGACTCAGTTAGTCACTCAGAGACTCAGGCAGTCACTCAGTGCCTCAGTCACTCAATAACTCAGCTAGTCACTCGATGACTCAGCTAGTCACTCGATGACTCAGTCTCCCAATGACTCAGTTAGTCACTCAGAGACTCAGTCAGTCACTCAGTGCCTCAGTCACTCAATAACTCAGCTAGTCACTCAATAACTCAGCTAGTCACTCGATGACTCAGCTAGTCACTCGATGACTCAGCTAGTCACTCAATGACTCAGCTAGTCACTCGATGACTCAGCTAGTCACCCGATGACTCAGCTAGTCACTCAATGACTCAGCTAGTCACCCGATGACTCAGCTAGTCACTCAATGACTCAGCTAGTCACTCGATGACTCAGCTAGTCACTCGATGACTCAGCTAGTCACTCAATGACTCAGCTAGTCACCCGATGACTCAGCTAGTCACCCGATGACTCAGCTAGTCAATCAATGACTCAGCTAGTCACCCGATGACTCAGCTAGTCACTCAATGACTCAGCTTGTCACTCAATGACTCAACTTGTCACTCAATGACTCAGCTTGTCACTCAATGACTCAGCTTGTCACTCAATGACTCAGTGCCTCAGTCAGTCACTCAGTTACTCAGTGACTAAGTCAGTGACTAAGTCAGAAGACAGTAGGCTGGCCCATGTATCCAGCAAGGGGCAACATTCTGTAATACATGTATATCGCAAGTGTAATTTTCAAGGTTGAAACATTTTGAAATTGATGAAATCAACTAAATTTGCCAGTGACGCATTAACAAACTGGACTTAAGATAGCAGCATGTATACTGACATTGGATTCTATCACGTTGATAAGAAATATTTAGATAACTTTTTGGAATCAAAAATATTGCAGCGATGTAGCTTTCAATGTCATCGCGACATTCAGCGTAGTGAATTAAACCACTCCGGTCATGTGACCACCTTTTGGGCAATCACAACTTAAGATGGACTTAAGTTGTTAGAAAAAAAAAATGGTTGTGTCAAAGCAATTTTTTATTGGCTTTTCTGCAAAGTTGTGGAAAAGCCTTTGTTTTTGTTCTGATTTTTTTCTTTCCCCTTTTTGTTCTATCCCAAATCCCATAGACTTTGGGCATTCATCGTTGTCATATATGACCTGATTCACAAAAAAGGGTATTATGTCGCAGACTAATGAAATTTAGTTATATAGATGGTTGGAAAGTATTTGGTATATAATAGAGCTCCATATCCCCTTCTGTTCTGGAGAGACGACGTATTTGCATATTAATTACTTCCTTGGAGTTTGAATTACACAACTAAGAAAACAGGCTTTGAAAGAGCTGGCTCAGTTGTAGATTTGGGCACGATGCACTAAAAATTGTAGTTTTTTCCCCCACTTTATTCATGAAAATCAACATTTCTGTGAATGAATCCTGAAACTTTAGGTAATAAAGACATTATTCATGACAAAACAAAAAGAAAATTACATTTTGATGAAATTGTCACCCTCTCAATGATAATGCACAGCGCGACTGAATACTTTTTTTTTTGTGGAGCTGGTCACATATATCATTCAAAGTTAGCATAGGCATAGTCCCTATAGCAAAGTTGTGTCCTGTGGAGTGATGTCATGATGAGGTCATTATGTGTCATGTGACGTCATCTTAAAGGTAAATCTTTCTGTGGCCTATGTTTGTAGAACTACAAGCTCGATAAGGTTGAAACTTTGCATGTACACATACCGGGATGTGTTATAGATGAAAATTTAGGTGATTGATCACGTGTTTTTATGTAGATTTTTGAAATTTTGAGATTATTGCCATATCTCACGAACACAACAGCTAAATTCAAAATTCTTTTGGTAATAGGTTTGTTAAGTCGTAGGTATTTGCAAAAAAATGTGAAAATTGTGTGACGTTATCATGAGTCATCACATATGCGAAATATAAGGGTAGGTCATATCATCATAAAACTTGGTGGGAAGGTAGATAATGATTACAAGTAGGCAAAACCCGAAATGACGTCAAGATGACGTCATCTATTGATTTTTAATACAATGTTTAAACTTATATTTTGGGCTACTGGCAAGATTTTACATTAAATCAACAAAATTATAATTTACATGAGTGCACATCACCAAAAAAACGCATTAACTAAAAACAAATCACAATGTGGCAGAAGTTTTGATCATTGCCTGTAAAAATGGAATGTCAACTTTTGATTGTTTTTTTAAATGTCTGAACAGTAATAGGTATCATGAATCAATCTTAAATCAATTTTTTTTTTAAAGAAAAATGGGAAAACATAATAACAAAGAATACAAAAAACAAACGTTCCAGCTGACTGGCCCACTCTGCTTAACACAGACAACACTGAAGTGAGAGGATTCCTTTGAAGATAATGTATGCCAAAGTAGAAGATGCAAATGCTTAGTGTGTGAAACATAAGGCTTATTAACAAAACAAAAAGTAAAACAAAGGAAAACTATTTTGTTTTGGGTATTGACATGAAACACAGAAAGACGGAACTTGTAACATGCTGATAACTTTCTCTGATGTTTCCAACAACGAGGTAAGTATGATGCTATCTTTAATTTTAGTCTCTTGTAAAGCATAGTTGTAGCCCAGTTTTAAACTTGTGTGTACATGTAGGTTCATGTTTTATCTACGAGGCTGTGTAGATATACTGTGAAACGAAGAACTGAACATCTGCTTTTGTAATTGTTTCAAATTGAAATCTGTTTAAACTTTCATCCCCCCTTCCCGTCATTTTAAAGCAATACATCATTAATCCTGTATAGAACATGTAAGCCCCTTCACTCCTTCACAGTTGATTTTCAAATCAAAATAAAACCTTTGAATATTCACGGATTGAAAACAGAGTAAAACCTTGATCAGAGGGTTTGAGTGGGGATTTGTATCTCATTGTAGGCCAACACCATTGCAAAGAATTAGGGATTAGGCATAATTGTGTTTTTTTTGCCCCTGTTTTCAAACCACTTTCTTCCAGCTAATTTCTTTCTTGCAACATGAAGTTATTCAACATTGTCTGGTATTTTTTTTTTAAACAGGGATTTTATTTCTTAGACTGTAAGTGACCAAGCAAACTACATTAACGTTCATGTATTTGATTTTACTACTGTCATTTCTCATTTCTGTAATTTTGATGGTGTCTGAAAAAGGTACTTACATGTATTTGGACCAATAATTGTGACTTCTCCCTACTGGCTGCCAACAGAAACATACAAGCAGCTTTGAGTGAAGCCTTGGTTTCAAGTCTGTAACTGAATGGGTCTTGTTTGTTCAGCCATGTTAATGATACGCACATAATGTACTTGGGTTCACATGCATGTGATTTAACTCCCAATGAGTCATATCCCATCAGATGAAATGTTGAAAAGAGTAATTAAAAAAATATTTAACACAGTTCCATATTACCAGTGGCACGGATGGACAAAACCTGACCACTCTTAACTTGAATTCAAGTCTTCTGTGAGCAGCTTTAAGTCACTGTATCAGTATCAAGCATTTCTTTTTTTCATATAGAAAGCAAAATTAAATAAACAAAATTACTGATTATTTTACAAACATGACACAGAACCATTTAAATGCATACTTATTTTCAGATTTAGAGTTTGAAGTGGATAATCAGAAGATGTTTTGAAAGGCCATTGAAAGCATTGGAGTATTGCCACTTATTTGCTTATAAGTGTACTTTAAACTTCATGAAAGTTTTATAAAAGGTGCTCAGGTTGTCAAGAAAAATAACCAGAAAAGAAGTTTCACAGACATTCTCAACATTTGTAAAATGTTTGATAGAGTGACCTTTAAAACTGTCGTATATTTGGAAGAATTGACTTAACATTTCAGCTCAGTGGAAGCTGAAACAAAAAAGCTCTGAAAATACATTGTTGTGAATGATAGTGACAATACGCATCGCATTATGCCACTTGACAGTGATATGTCACCACCTCACCAAGTTGAGTTCACACCTATTCCATTCATTCTCTCACAACTTGCTTTTCAGGTGCTCATTGTGACTATTGATTGGGATCCAAATTAGTCTTATGAAATGAATGTTTTGTACCAGTCCTATCTTGTACTCGAAACATAGATTTTTCCTGAAAACAAAATTCCTGTTATGAAGAGCATTTTATTGCATTGGATAACCATTACAAATAAGGTCTTTACATGAACTGTTTGCCTAAATACACAATGGTCACAAAATGGACTGGCTATGCTTTTACGGGAGGCAGTTTTCCATCCTAAATCTAGGAAGGGCTTAAAGAAAAAGATAGTCTGACATATATGTGCTTTCATGCTTGTAAAATGTGTTACTCATGTATAGAAGAATCCTGTCACCAGAATAAGAAGGCATCATTTGGGTGGTACCATGTTCTTGTGCATAAGCCAATTTCATGTAGCTCGTTTGCACAGAAATTTCCCAACAGGCATATTTAGCGAACAAAACAGGTTAGTAGCCCAAACTCTCATGCGGTGTGCATGGATTGTGACCGGTATGTCTACTCAACTGATTTATGCACAGTACAGAAATCGACTCGTCAATATTTTCTGCTCAGCGCTTCTGTGAAATTGGGGTCTAGTCATACACGTTCTTAAATTTGAGGTCCAATTTGTAAACATGTCATTGGTACAACATGTAAAATCACAAGTGTGTTACCACCTGAGTAATGGCTTCCAAGTATCAGCACCAGAATAGTCTATGTGTACATGGCCCAAGAATTCAAAACATCTTTCTCCTTGAAACTGAACATCAATTGCACCATTACTTTGTAACTAGTGGGACTACAATGTGAAATGGTTTGCTGACTGTATTCTTTATTGTCCTAAATAGAAAGCCAAACAACGACCTAATAAAATGAGAACAGATATCTAAGAATAATTGGATGTGGTCTCATTGTTTTTTTTTATTTGTGAAGCACTTCAATTCTTCAACAATTTAAGGTCCACCTCCCGTCAACTGCCCCTCCCCAAAAATAAATATATGAACACAACTACTAAAAAAATAATTCTCTGGAAAAACCTTTGCACAACTACTTCTTTTTCATTTCTACACCTGGATTCAATTTTGAACTTCAAACTGTAAAACAAGTGATTTTCCAAAATTATGTAATAAAACTTCTGCAATATAAACGGAATTGGCTCAATAACAGCACTGGAAGTATATTAAGTCAAAACATGTAATTTTAACAATCCGCCTATGAACTTGTAAAAACTTTTCTCACATAATCCAGGTGGTTCATATAAAAAGGTAGGAGTATTTCATTCTTCAGAATTTGAATGCCCAAAAATGCTCAAATTCTACACGGCACTACTCATAAGATTCACGAGAAAATAGTTAATAATAATTTATTTCAATCTTTAAATAACTAACTCAGCGATGTAAATATAAAACCCCATTTTTCAGCGTTTGTTAGGATATTTTCTGTCATACTTGAGTTCCATGAGAGCAAAAAAGTCCTGGCAAGAGAAATGGTTCAGGTTAAGTGCCTTGCCCATGGACATGATGGACACAGCAGCAATGTTTCCTGCACAACTCAACATTTTCCTCCCAAGAGGGTTTTCCCCAAATCAAGGCCTTATCAAGACCACTTGACTGCACAACCCTGCCTGTATACCACCCTCTGGAATCATAAACTTGCCAATGTCTGCCTGGATGCTGCTACCGAGTTCTAGAAGGTTAGAATTGCTGTCAGACAGTGCAGTGTACCTCCAGGGGTGGATATGGGTGCTCTTACCCTGCCTGGCCAGGAGGTAGACATCGGAGGCAGGAAGGCTTTGTAGGACAGCCTGAACTGTTTGGATGGTGTGCTCGGACAGCCCATCGTGGTTATCAACGCTGATGCAGTACAGGTTGGATGCAGCTGGATCCTGATGAATCTCTTTCGAGTTCAGATCTGGAAAGTCAGCTCTGCTGCATTGCAGCAAAAAACCTTCGTGAAAATGGAGAAATAGACTAGGTTAACTGTTCTGAACTTGAATTAGAATCCCATGGCAATGCTTATTTTCCCCAACAGTTAAAAGTCTACACATACAGGGTGAGTAAAAAAAAACCGAAACCCAAATGTCGGGACTATTGTTTCAGTGCAGTTCTGCATGTAGCACTTTCAAAATCTAGGATACGAAAGCCCAATTCATAAGCTTTCTTTTAGTACAAGAATCATTCAAATCACTCATGTACTTTTTAAGTTACAGAATTTTAAACACAACCACCGTTTTAAAGTTAAGTGTTCTTTCAGCAAAATGAAAACAAATCACATAGGGATGTGTGTTAAAACGGTGGTTTTGTTTAAAATTCCATAACTTGAAAAGTACGAGTGATTTGAATGATTCTTGTACTAAAAGAAAGCTTATGAATTGGGCTTTCATATCCTAGATTTTGAAAGTGCTACAGGCAGAACTTCACTAAAACAATAGTCCTGACATTTGGGATTCGTCTTTTTTTTTACTCACCCTATACATGTATTTTGTTTTGGCTGGCAGTAAAAGCTGTGTCCACTGACTCCACTGAGACTTGCAGGCAACACTGTTTTCTGTACAACAGTTGGAAGATTAGCATGTTTCGTTCTGGACAATGGTCATCAAAGTCCAAGAAAAATCTGAATTTAGAGTTGGGAAAAGTTAGAACTAAAAAGTTAATGAATGTTGTCTACCAGTCCACAACTTGCTGGTACTTTTTTTTAGCCAAAAGTATCGTGTGACTGTTCAGGGTATCTGCACCATTGCAGTCTGTGCTATGGTAAGTGCATTCACCTTAGTGACGAGTGAACAGTGCTGAACATTGCCGAAAATAAGTCAAATTTTTATTTTTTAACTGGCAATGCTGTTTGAAACCCCAAAACCCCCCGATATCTTCTCTGAAAGTTCTATGGCTAAACTGTATGATCAATTTTAAAACCTTACACTTTTTACAGAAGGTCAAAAAATGCTGGCTGTCAGCCTGGGCTACGGTCATTTAAGTTCTGGTCCACTTTTGGCCACTATAAATGGTCACTTCAGGTTTTCCTATCAGTATAGGAAGGGTTGCATTACCTGAAATGACAGCCCAGTGGGCTCTATGTCCCCTTAAGCTGCATGGCTCACAGTTGGCATCCTTGTCATAACTTTGGAAATTAAGGAAATCAAAGCAACAACAAAATGAAGACTCATGAAAGAGTTTAGATCTATACAGTCCTGACCATGTATCCAGTGTTGCAGTGCCCCCTTGAAAAGAAAATGTATGCACCCCCAGGTTCCCCCCAGAGGTTTAACCCTAGTTAATACACCACTGCTTGAGATTAGCTATGGACTCCATGCACAGGTACCCAGTCACCAGAGTTACAGACAGAGCTAGTAGGGACTTGAATGCATTGCTGCAGTACATCAGGCACTCAAGCCAAGATGATATGGGTTGTACATACATGTACATGTATTCAGAATAAAAATGATTGTCTACAGATTAGGCTGCTTGTCTGTGTTGGGGTGATCATCTATTCAAACCGTGGACGAAAAATTCCAGAGAACAAAAGAGAACAATATCGTCCACGATTCCCAGCATACGTCCGCGATTGGGGTTGTGAACAAAACCTATGGGAGTCTTCCTAAAAAGTTAAAGTACAAACAAAAGAGGGACAATAGGACGTCCACGATCGACGGTGTGAACGGGCTTGTGTGTGTGTGTGGGTGTGAACCAGTGCACATATGTAATTGTCCCTCCCAAGGAGGTCAGGAAGCACCATCTACTGTTAATGCACAGAGTTCACATTGGCAACATTAAAATCTGTAGTGTATAGGTTTCAACTTCTTTAAACTTTGACTGAGGATACGGCACCAGGACTGGCCAACCATTGGCAAGGTGGAGGATGATGTCATCTCGGTTATCCGTCATGTTTCCTACCAAAACTCTGCCATTGACTCCACAGCTACAGGACACCAAGTCCAGTAAGTTTGTGGCTGTGAATGATGAAGCATTCATCTGATTAAGTACAGGTAAGTGTACATGTCAGTTTCATCTGTTATGAGGTACAAGTAAAGAACTGATTTTTTTGGAAACCACAGTTCAAACTCCCAGTATGCTCAGTGAATCTGGTTGTTAGGCTGCATCCGCATCAGCTGTCTAGAGCTAGGTCTAGGTCTGCACCCACTGATACTACGCGGGGACGCGCTGACAATAGACGTAGCCGTAGCTCTGGAAGCCCGTTTTGGACACTGCCTTAGTGGCTATTTGACCCTTCCTGTCTGTCAATCAAACGGTGGGCATTTAATAACCAATTCAATCACATCTTTTAGTCAGTTGACCGGGTAGCTTGGTCATTATCAGTCATAAGTAAACAGTGGGCAGAGCTTATTGCAAAATCAACAAAACACGCTATTATTTGAAACAGAACTGACTACAGATGAAAAGCTTGATATTTTTAATGAGATATGATTCCATGAAATGTTTTTCTGTCGTGCTGACATTTAATAGAGAAAACACAAACTATGTTGAAACATTCAATTTCTAATGGTAGCAATGAAAGTTTCTCAAAGCATGAAAACCGAGTTTTAACCTCAACTTGATCTCAAACAGCATGACCATAGCTGCCAACTTTTCAAAATCCCAATTAGTAATCAACCCACGCGGTCATTTTCAACTGCTCGTTTTATCAAACATCAAGTACAGGTACATGGTTTACATGTACACATACATGTGCATACCCTTCTTGTTGTGAATAATAATGTACTGTAGGCCAAAAGATAATTAAAAAAATAAAAATAAAAAAAAAAAATAAAAAAAAATATTGTATTTTTTTTTTAAATAATTTTGTTTTAATGTCTGTATTTGTTTGTTGAAGTCAAATAAATAATAACAATAATAACATGTGCGCATATCTTTTTTTGAGATGCATGCTATCGATGTGGAGTTTTGAGTTCGTATCAATGTTTTTACACACAATGATTTAGGGCCACCGTATGCAATAGAAATATCCCGCCAACATACCTTGCAAACGCATGCTGATTTATCTTTTCTGGATGTTGTGACAAACTCAAACTCTATTACCAATTATTCCAACCATACTCTTATTAAATTCCATGATTAAAATCCACACTGATGGGTCTCATCCCGGCAATAAGCGACCAAATGTGCTCACGATCGTCACTGAAAAGTACTGCATACAGTACACACAACCACACATCCACGAGATGCACACAAATGACACACCATTGAAAAATAGTTTTAGTCTGGTCCTCAAGTACTCCACTGCGCACACTGCATTGATGTCTATCAGCTGCTTGACTGCATTCTTATTAGACTTGTCACCAGTCCATCCATTATTGCGACATTTCGCCAAAAGTTTTCGGTCAAAAACGATACTTTACAAGTATTTTTTTTTTTCGTTAGGTAGAAAATGGGAAATTCGTAATGTTTTAGTGGCAAATCGTATTTTCGTAATTTAACAAACAATTCGTAATAATTACGAAAAATTCGTAACAGTTGGCAGCTATGCATGACCCACTATTAGGTGTGAACTAACATCTTTACAATGACAGGTAAAATGACAGAGTTTGAATGCAGTCAATCAGTATTGACTGGATTAAGTTCAAAGGCACAAGTATGGACAATAACAAAAGAATCCCACTGTCACAGTTCACTTGAAAAGCTTCTGACTTGACTTGAGACTGGATTACTTGTAATTGACTACCGACTGACTTAATTGTATTGACTTGCAACGACGAGATTACAGCTCTGAAAAGAAATTGCTAGATTTCTGAGTTCCTTTTTCAGTTTCTTGAATCTTCATATTATCTTCTGGTTTACCTGAGAACATTTCCCCTTGAATAGTGTATCCTTTCTCTTGGGCAGTGTTCATGATGTGTCTCTTATCTGCAGAGACTGGCCCCAACATGTTGACAGCCATGCAGAGGGCGACTATACCACACCTGCCAAGAATCGAGAGTCAGGGATTTAGACTTGACAATGATTTTACAGTTTACGATGAGAATACACACCATAAAATAAACAATTATAGACATTTTTATTTCCTATGTGTGAATAAATAAGGGATCCGGCTCAGGTAATTATCAGCACCCAGACTCTAAGCGGTCTTAAACAGAGTGATTAATACCGACCGAGCACACAGTTATTCCCATTCATAAATACCTTTTCGGTCAAAAAAATATAATATTTCGGTCAAAAAATCCCGATTTTGTTCATCAAGTTCACTTCATGCTTTTTGAAACATCCCTCTAGCTAAATAATGGAGTGTTCAGCTGGCGATTACGATATAAACAACCCTTTTATGGAGATTGACGCGCGCGTGGCACGTTCTGTGCGATGTCGCGCAGAACGCACCGGGGCGTTGCGTTTTGAATTTAGAACTATACAATTCTGACTCACTGGTAGTGTTGTGCATGCCTACGTGAGGACTGTGAACGTTCAACCAATAAAACGGTAAGAGGCACTGGATTTTTAGGAGTCCACATTTTATGTGACACTGGAAAAGTGTTTAAGACCAGCTAGCCATCTCTTTATCATCCGTTTAAGACCGGCCACGTGACGGGCTCTCGACCAATAGGAATGGCTAAACTGTCTGAGGTATTTATGAATGGTAAACAAGACAAGCTTTTCTCATAGACAAGCTTTTTTCTTGGTACAGAGTTTAAAAATCTGGTCTGAAAATTGATCCTGCTGTAAACCATGGAATGCACCAAAACTTAAGGATTTTTGGGGGTTTCTTCAGAGTTGTAAAACCGTGAGGTTACAAAATTTCAGATCTGAAAACCTCTTGCCTTTAACATATTTATGAAAAGGAAGTTTAAAAGTGTGATGACCTTAATCCAACATTTATGACATTAAGGATGCGAGACATTTGTCAATTAATTAATGAACTTCTCCTCTGAATTGGCCACGCCCCTTCTTGGCCATTGACAACATACATGTAGTAATGTTTAGGCTGTCACACTTATTGCAGATATTATATAACTGGCATACTGATCCTTGTCATTTGATTGGTGGAACTCACACAACTTGACATTCATTATTGCTCCCATTCACGCAGGGGCTCAAAGAGTTCTATTCGCCCATGGTGAATGGGATTTACTATTTAACAGTTAGGATAATCCGTGTTCTATGGCGTGGTATTTGTGTGCAAATGCATGCTGGTGTGCGCGTTGAGCGTATTGTTCCAAAGAGCCATTAGCTAAAGAGTTGGGTTCAAACATTTCGTGAAGGGGTGGTTTGGAAGAGAGAAATACATTTCCCACCAATTTTGTATTGAAATAGAAGTTCATTTTATCTGTAAATCAAATGACAAGGATCTATATGTCAGTTAAAAAAAACATATTGAGTGGCTTTAAATTGTGAAATGGAAGGATATTATCACTTGGTAAAATCTGGACTTTTCCATTTCACTTGGCTTCGCTTCCTGAAATAGAAAAGTCCAGATTTTACCTTGCAATAATATTCCTCCCATTTCACTCTGAGCCACTTAATATTTGTATACCATTGTACCATTTTTGCAGATTACAGTGAAATCTCGATAAGTCAAACTCTGATAACTCAAAACAAAGGTTAAGTCCAACAAAGAATCCATTCCCTGCAGTAGTAAAACAATGATTTACAACCCTGCTTTACTCAAAACTCTGCTCAAGTCAAATGTTGAACCTGTTCCCTTGAGGTTTGACTAATCAAGATTTCACTGTCCTTACTCTGGGCCTTGTTGAAGGACAGGAGCTGTGTGACGGTTGCTTGCTATCCATACATTGTCGTCTCTTTCATTGCACATTCTCCTGCAGATCAATAGATGTATATTCAGTGTTTCATTGCATGCTTGAGATATATGGCCCAGAATGGTTCCAAATGGCACTTTTATCATGTTACTATCTGGTGTAAGTCAGCTTATTGTGTTTGTATGCATTAATGTTATAGTCATGTCCATCATCAGTCCATCACCAGACTGGACACAAGTAAATCACAAGTCAATTCACAATTCCAGTCACAAGTAACTGAAGATCAACAGTGATACAGGAATGCCTTTTTCAGTGTATTTGAATAACTTGTGACTTGTGACTTGACTTTGGACTGGTGCCTGTGATGGACATGTGAGGACTTGTGATGGATTTGACTACAACACTGGTATGCATTGTACCATGTACGTGTATTGGGAACTTCCCCATTACACTACAAGTATCACTTTGATTGTAGTGCGCATGTAGTCTACTTCTAGGACTAGAACAGGATTGCCTTCTACTTTTTAGTTTCTAGCACATAGTTTCTGAAGTTAATGACATTTCCAAGAACATTTTTGCTTAAGAAATATGAAAGAATATTTTCAAAATTTCCTCTAAATTTCTATTTGAAAATCAGGTGACAAATGATATATGCCTTTCCTGGTATAGTTTCAGGTCCCTTCCACACCGTCAGCTAAATTTTCGGATTTTTTTGTTTTGTTCAGAACTTGTTACAGTTCAGCAAGCAGGGCTTATACACACATCAAAATACATACCATGACAGCAACTTTTGCATCCCTCTTGAAATCTCATCCTTCCCTGCCGTTGCTGAGGGTTTTCTTGCATCGGCCGATGCAACATTCCACACTGTATTGTTGGTCGGGTGTGATAATGATCCCAATCCACCCAAGGGAGGGGCGGCTGGCACGGGGATGAGGGAATCAAAGGAGGTGAGGTAGGAGGATTAGGACTGGGAGGAGAGATAACATCTGTGGATTCACGAGAAACGGAAACACAGCTTCTCTGCTCCTTGCATATGTCCATAACTGAAGCTAGGAAAGATGACAATAGTCTGTACAGGTTTGGGGTTATTATGGTAGAGTAAGTTTGACCATTGCTCCAGATCAAGATGGCAGGCGAGTCACGGCAGATATCTTTCACATGTTGTCTACTGCACCTAGAAGTGATACCAAAAGTAAAAACAGGAACAAATATATATACATGTAGTGTTAATTTAAGCTGGATAAGATTAAAGAGCTAAACCCATCGATGTTCATTTTCCTTCACCAAGTTGACAGCCATGTGGTGGTGTCCAGATATTGAGCACAAATCAGGAAGGGTTTCTCCGGCCTGTGGCACTTGAAGAAATCCCAGAAATTCCGAAGTGAACAAGTAAGAGATTCATTTAATCTCTGTTTCTTGCGTAACTTTTTATGGGGCCAATTAGCCCTATACATGTGTCTCAAATGCTGGACGTCCTCCATAAGAGCCACACAGCGATGCATGTTACATTTCCTGAAAAGTTGTGTTTCCTGAACTTGAAATCTAGATTGTTTAATAACCAAGAAAAATCACACTCCCTACTTCTAGTATCTACTTATCCTATAATTGTCAGAGGAAATTTGAAGAGTTGGTTCGAAATGACTGCAGGATTTTCTTGAGGTCATGGGTTGTGTACGTCCATCCCAGTACACCCAATATATCCAGACCACATGTGGGTGTCATTTAGACTGCTGATTACTGAAGTTAGGCAACTTTTGCTCATTTGTCCTCATTTGTTATGGACAGGACACATTGTATCAAACCCAACAATTTCTCCATTTGTTTGCAATTGCATACTAATATTGACGGTCACTATAAATAAACCACCACTCAACACTCAACAGCAAAACAATGTTATTAACTACAGGTAGGTGTAAATAATATTATTAACCAGATAAGTAGTTTCCATAGTGAATTTCAGGTGAAAAAAAAGTAAAAACACACCAAAAAATATAAATATTATATGCACACTGCACTATTCGTAAAAAGTAAGTAGGCCCTACAGGGTAAATGTAGTGAAGTTCATTGTACCGTCCGAGTTTATTTTTTT